ACGGTCTTTCAGAAGGCAACAAAGGTGTTACATAAACATTCTCTTCTACCACCCTGTCCTCACTGGATGCTGGCAAAATAAGAAAATGTTTTCTTTCTAGAAAGGTGATAAATGTCTAAGAAAAATTTTCAGAGAGGATGAGAGCTTTCAGAGTTCTGATAAAGAACTAGGTGAAGGGGACCATGAGGTGAGGTAACCAAGTTAATAAAATGTTCTTTTCTTTGACATTCCTTCAGTGACGAGGGAGCAGGTAATTTATGGTACAAGTGCCAGAATCGATCACCTTGTGCAGCAAGGCCACCCTCACGCTGTGACAGTATATCCACAGCATCGCCCATAGATTTATAAGGCTTTGGGTTGTGGGGCGGGGAGGTACCATGTCCTTAAATCCAGGGGTGAGCTCTGTTTTGCTCCTGGGGTGCTGGAATACCTGAGCCCTCAAACTAGGGGAGACTCAAGTGCACTGTTTCTCTGAAAGGTGTCACCTTCAGAATATACTTGCAATCAAGTGTTTCGGCAGGGAGGGTCCTATGAGAAGAAACTGCTTTTCTGTTCCCTGAAGCTCTGCCCAAATGTTGGTCAGTGGCATGAATGCTGACCATGGAAAGACAGAGAAACAAGAACAGAGGGTTTAAAACCACAAAGGAATCCACATCATACGGTTCAAACACCAATGAGGAGAGAAGGGGGCATTTCAGGCCAGAAAGGAATTCATAGCACCTCATTCATCACGTGAGCATCCTTATAGTTTACCAGGGTCCTTTCATCCCAACCTAGTGGTACTGGTTATTATGTGACTAACATAGGAAGGTTCGTTTCTAAAGACAGGTATAAAGAAAAGGCAGGGGACGAGGATGCACGAAAGGGATAGTATGCACAAGGCAGGTTCACCTCCCTCGGACTGTCAGTCACCTCCCCGGTGACAGCCGATGGTTCAGAGAGGCACACAGGCTCAGAGCTTTTAGAGTCCTCTTTGGCACCCTCCCATGCTCCCTAGAATTGTTTTAAATTGGCCGGTTTTCAAACAAGAAAGACCTTTCTGGCTGTCTTGCCACTGGGGGAATAACTGGGTGCCTATAGTTTGGAAGTGTCTGGAACAACATAAGGCAGTTGGCTTTGTACACACGCACATTCCTTCCTCCCAGCCAGGAGCTGGGACCTCATTCAGTCTTGGGAGGTCTAAGAATAATTTCCTTCTGCCAGAAAGGAATCCTGCCTATGTGCTCCCTAAGGCATGCATGTGTGACCCACAGCAAGAGATAATTAAAAGCAGTTTTCCAGCCACCCAGAGCCCACCCCATTTTCTGAAAGCACCAGAGGAGAAACAAACATTCCAGACCATTAGCGAGCAATGTCATGTTTGGAGAAAGACCAACCATGCAAATGAACGTAACCTTTTTTTTTTTTAAAGGCAGAATCCCATCTTTGCTTTTGTTTCTGTTTGATGCTTATTCTAACCCTAACTCTGAGGCATCTGGAAAGAAGAACTCTGTTACTGATACTTAATTTTAGAACATATTGTGGTTCTGTGAAAACTGAACGTTTGCCTTTCCTAAAGACTGACACAATGTAAACTCTTGATTCTAACCTTGCCCGCTAAATCTGGCCGGGCCGTGGTCCAGGAATTCTTATTGGTTATCGGAGGGATAGAAATGGTGTTGATTGTTTTTTTTTTTTTCAGGATACCAATGATGTCTTAGTTCTGTCTTTGTAGCACAGCACCTGTAACCATATTTTCAAAGTTTGTTTAGGCCTAAAGATGGATCGTGCGAGCTTGACAATGTACAGTGTGACTGAAAAAAAAAAAAAAGACAGGTTGGTGTCTATTTTTTCTTTTTAAGATATCCGAATGTGTATTTGTAACATGTAAAGGTAAAGAAATAATAATAGTGCCAAAAATGTACCAGGCGTCTCATTTCAGTTCATACATGTCTGTTTTTATAAGACCAATATTGAAACCCATTGGGATTAAATATTTTTGAACAGGATACAATCCTGAGAAACTCGAGAATGGACTGAACCTTCCTACAAGCCACTCTTGGTTTTTGAAACCGTGGGGAATAACGTTTACAGAGATTTTGAGCTTCAAAGACTGCATGTGATAGTGTGGATTACGTGCTAATTCATGTACGCTGGATCTGTCAGCAATTGCCCTGTGCTTTTAAAATGCACACACTGGACCCTCTTCAGCTTGGAGCTCACCTTTTTGCTTTTTTGGAAGAGGGGAGTAGAGTTATTTCGCCAACTTAAGTATTCTGGTCGCTCCTTGACGGCCACCGTTCCTTAGTTCCATACACATGCTTTAAATATGATCTTTTGAAGCCAGCTCCTTGGAGAGCCTACGGAACCTCAGGCTGAGAGCTGCGGAAATTGCCAAACAGGCCCTGCAGGAAACAAAGTGGCTACACACTCAGGATGGTTGTGTAAACGGAAGTGACTTGGCAATACATGGGTCGATGTAGATGGAGCGTGAGCCTTGGGCAAAAATGACCTTTCTTTGGGATAAGTCCAAAGAGTATGACTTTTCTATGCCCTGGAGTGGTGATGGTGGGTCATAGAGGTCAGGTATTATTGAGTTGTTCAGCACCCCCAAAGGTAGGCCTTCTCCTGGGAAGTTTTCATTTTCATTTTATCTCCAAACAGAATCAAAAGCAAAACCCACTTTGTAAGCTAGAATAATGAAATGAAGTCATTTTCCACTTTGTATATATTGATGCTAATAAAACAAATGAAAAAAGAGTCAAATCTGCGGAGTTTTTGTTACAAACCCTCCATGATAGCACCAAGGGGAGGAGCTCCAGTTTCTGGGGCTTAGCTTGGGGAGGACTACTGACGCTGTGAATGCCAACTTGGGAAGGGCTCTGGGAACATTTGGGGAATGTTTAGGACTCCGCCATCCTCAGACATGCCACCATCCTCCCTGTCCTAGCCAGCTCGGGCTGCCACGACAAAGCACCATAGATGAGGTGGCTTAACAACAGACATTTATTTCTCACAGTCTGGGAGCCTGGGAAGTTCGAGATCAGGGTGATGGCTGATTTAGCTCCTGGTGAGAGCCTGCTTCCTGGCGACCCATGGCCTTCTCACTATGTCCATACATGGCGAATAGATCTCTTCTCTCTCGCTCTCTCTCGCTCTCTCTCTCTCTCTCTCTCTCTCTCTCTCTCTCTCTCTCTCTCTCCCTCTCCTTATAAGGCCACACTCCTATCAGATTAGGGTCCCACTCCTATGGCTTCATTTAACCTAGTCACCTCCCAAAGGCCCTGTCTCCAAATACAGTCACACTGGGGTTTATGGTTTCAACATAAGAACTGGGGTGCGGGTGGGGAGAGGAGGGGGGCAATTCACTCCATAGCATCCCACACCCAAATTCACTTCCGTCTCACATGCAAAACACATTCATCCCATCCCAATAGTCCCCAAAGTCTTAACTCCTTCCAACATCAACTCTAAAGTCCAAAGTCTCGTGGAAATCAGGTGTGGGTCAGACTGGAGGTACACTTGTCCTGGGGCACATTCCTGTCCAGTTGTGCACCTGCAGAACCAGACAAGTTATGTCCTTCCAAAATACAACGGTGGGACAGACACAGGATAGATGTTCCCATTCCAAAAGGGAGAATCAGAAAGAAGAAAGGGTGAGGGACCCCAAGGAAGGCCCAAACCTCACAAAGCTAATTCCGTTAGATCTTAAGTCTCGAGAATAACCCTCTGGGTTTATACCTGCCCTCGAGGTTCACTGGGGTGGGAGCATCACCCTGTAGGCGTCCAATCATCTTCCATTATAAAACGGACAGGTGGGTTTCTGAAAGGTCCCCTGGGGAGAAGTTTCATGGGTGGGCCCGGGGCAGCTGGGAGGACCAAGGTGGGGCTGAATCATTCAGGGGCCTGTGACTCAATTCTGGAATGGAGGTTCCGAGGAAGGACAGGCAGGATGAAGAAAGAAAATGGAAGGTTAGAGTGCGCCCAGGATGCCTTCAGAAACGAAAATTCTGCTTCCCAGGCTACCCCACACACTTACAACAATAGTGGAGAGAAATAGGTTCCCTTGACACCACAACCCACCCTCACTGGTAGATGTGTTTCTGACAAACTGGTCAGGATGGACAGCCCTGGACCAGGAGAGAGAGAACCGTACAGAAGTGACCATAGAGGTCCTTGCCAGGATAACATGCTAACAACAACAATAATTGCAATAATAATAATAATAATAATAATAATAATAATAATATCTGGCATTTGTTGGCTGCTTACTACTTCTGTTTTGTTTCTTACGTTTTCAATGCACTTTTAGAATAGTTTTAGATTTCCTAGTTATGTGATGCCCTTTAATATCTCATTTACTCCTGTTTGTAAAGAAATGGTTATTCTTCTCCTTTTACAGATGTGTCGTCTGGGGCTCAGAGAGGCTAAGTCCCTTGCCCAAGTTCATATAGCTGGTACAAAGGGAATGGGACCCAAGAGGTCTGGCTACAGGTCAGTGTCCAGGGCAGGACTGAAGGCCGGCCACTGATGTGCTACCTGTGCCCAGGGCACCCAGAAGTAAAGCAGGCTCTTCTACTGGGGGACGCCCTGCCTTCTGTGGCATTTGTCCTAGGAGGTATTTGGCTGGGTTCAGCAATGGCTAAGAGCTGGAACTGTGAGTTTGAATTTTGACACGATCAAGAATTAGCAGCTTATTGGGGGGGAGGGGCCCACGTTGGGGGAAGACACCTTCCGCAGTCACTGTGGCGGCCTCCCTATGGGCCCTCTGCATCCCCATAAAAAGGAAGGTGGAAAAGTTACTAACTGCCCCAAATGTGACAGAAGGTTGGGGCAGACTAAAAAGTGCCTATCCAATATCTGCTTCCCTTCTGTTGCTAACAGAACCCCAATTTGTTCTGAGCAACAATGAAACCATCCTCAAGCAATGGGTCATAATTGGGTTCAACTATGAT